TTATTATTATTATTATTATGTCTCATCCATCCACCAAAGCATTAATTTTCTGTGCAGACTAAAAAACCCCAGGTGGTTCCAAAATAAAATGGGTTCCAACAGTGAGGAGGTGAAATGGAAGGGCACAGCAAGGGCGAAATTGCGCGGTCCTACGGCAGATGAGGTGTGGCCACTCCTAGAGGATTTCTTCTCCCTCCACAAGTGGCTGCCTACCATCGACACGTGTCGGCCGGTCGAGGGATCCGCTACTGCGCCTCCACGGACGGCGGCGGAGTACGGTGGTGTCACGAGAGGCTGGTGGAGATGGACCCAAAGGACAGGTGGCTGAGCTATGAGGTGGTGGACAACAACATGGGGTTTAAGCAGTACAAGTCAACGGTTAGGGTCAACGAAGCGGAGGCAGAGGAAAGTGGGTGCACCTGCACCATCGAGTGGTCGTTTAGTGCTGACCCCGTCCAAGGCTTCACTTGTCAGGATTTGCTTGCGTATTTGGACATCGGCCTTCAGGGCATGGCCAAGAATATGGAGATTGCATTGGATTTGGGACCACCCAATCTACCTACCATTTGATTTTATTTCATTTTCCTACTTTTTTTTTTTGGGTATTGGCAATAAATTTCTTCGGAGCGTGGGCTAAGTATAATTATGGATTAGGTTGTGCATTTGAACGTTAATTACCATAAACAGTTCGCTGTTACGAGTCAATCAGATAGAGTTGTCAGTTTGCATTAGCAATTTTAGTTGTAATAGACAGTGATGTGATGTAGCGTAGCATACAAACGTGAAGAAATAAGAGTAAAAATTCACAAATATCTATTTATTTCATTCAAAGCCGGTCGGCTATGGGCAGAAAAAGAGAATTAATAGTCCTAAGAAGTGTTTTAAATACCGTACCGGTGGTTATACCGGTCTAGCCACCGGTACGCGGTATTACCGGTAGGACCGGTAATATCGGTGATATTATCGAATTAGCAAATATAATGATATATATAAATATCATAAAAATATATAATATCAAATGCAAAAAAGTAAAAAAATGAATGACCACAATTAATTTTCAACTTCTCAATGAGATAAAAATAAAACATTTTAACCCAATTTAAATTTTTTATTTTTAAATTAATAAATTTTATTTATTTATTTATTTATTTATTTTTATTGGCTGGTATATTAGACCGGTATTTACGGTATGATCCCAGTACAAACCGGTATTACCGTAAATCCGGTATTTTGTGTGCAATTGTACCGTATCAATGGTCGGTATCCGGTATTACCAGCCGGTACGATATGGTATTTAAAACATGTTTCCTAAGCTCTTTAATTACCTAATTTGTTGGACAAGTAAATACCCAATAAAATATATATTCTCCTACCAACTAAATAAGATAAATAAGGACAATTATAATAAAGGGAATGGAAATAATGAAATATACTTAAGCCGGAGCAGATCATATTTTTCCAGATAGGCAAGTGCGATCTCGTCTCCATCATCCTCCCGTAGTTGAGAAGGATTCACCCTCGAATCGGAGCCGATCTCGTCTCCGTCCGAGTTGTCACCCTGATATGGCACAAAATGTAACACCTCGCATATATTTACTAAAATCAGAGTAAATTTTTCGTGCTTTGTAATTTGAAAACGCTTATTTAATTTTTGAAACGCTTATTAACCTTTTCGAAAACACTTAATCGTTATCTCGCTACATGCTACTAAACTTACTAGTTTTATCTCTTTCTTTATCTCAAGACATTAAGCATTCACACATGCAACCAAAACGAATCCACTCTACAGATAAGGCGCCATGGAAATTTTGGAATTAAACATGCAAATCATATGTCTCATAGTATGAATTCAAGTCTGAAAATGCAGAAGCTGACATAGTTCGAAATCATCAACAAACATACTAACTCAAACATGTTCAAATATATCACATGACATGTTTCTCATAAATATCCTCTTGCTTATGACCACCATTGTTGTAGTTATTTTTACCGTAGTAGAATCGAAAGATTCGAACACCGGGTCGTATCTCAAGGAAGGTCAACCGGATTAAATTGTACTAATATTCAGTCACAGAAAAAGAAAATAATCCTAAACACTCTAATTCAATGATTTGAGTTTTCAATTATCAACTACGAGATTAACTACTAATGATTCTCCGACAAAGTAATTCAATCACACAACTTCAAACACGATTCAAATAGTGGTAAAGGGACTAGGGTGTCGGGGACAATCGTTTCTGTTTCTCAATACATTCAAAAAGCAATCAATTACTCGAATAAAGGACTCGAAACACTAATTCATCAAGAGGTTTATTCTCAATAACTCACGTAGCAAGAGAATTAAACATAAACGAACAATCATCGAATTAATTAACACATAGACAATACGTTTTTGAATAAGTCTATTCTAAACGAGCCAAGATCGATCAATTCCTCCCCTTTCGGTTCTAAAATCGATTAAATAGATTAGGATGGTGATCAATCATCTAACCCTAGGTATAACACAACTCGTTTAGATTGAGCCATTAAAGTACACATAAACGAAATTGAACCGGAACAATTATCCCCTAACCCTAGCTATGAATTTAGCTACTCATCACAAATTCAACATCAACATTAACAGCAATCAAAGCCATCATCATCACAGGCAAAATGAAATAGAAAGCTTACGATTAAATACGAATCAAATATCGAAAAGCAACAAGCAATCCACATCCAAAGGTCTAATCTTGGAGTTTTCACTATCCAAGATTGACATCTAATGAAAAACAAGAGAAAATGTGTTTTTTTTTTTTTTGCAGTGAAAAGCGAGTATACCAGTCTCAGAATGCCCTAACATATGCCCTAGGTTCGAACTAAAAGCTTCCCTCAATTCAAAACCCACAAAAATCGCACCTGCTGTAAAACAGACCATGGCGGCGCCAAGGCGCTGGCAGTCCAAATGTTGCATTTTCTTCGGCTCGCGTGCTCGGCTAGTGTCGCTCGGGTACTGCCCGAGCTGGAAACTCGACCTACGCATGATTAGTCGCACGAACGGGCATGGAATACCTGGTAACTGGAATAACCTAAACCCACCAAAACCGAACATACACGAAAAGCAAGAAAAATAGGAAGAAAAACAAAGAAAATACCAAACATACCAAAATAAAGATAAAACACGAGAAACGATTAGACAGACCGGTAACACCTAAGAAACGACCTAAAACGGGGGGAAAATACACGCAAAACATACACAAAAATAGTAACAAAAATAGGACAAACAACTCCCCCACAGTAAAACCTTTGTTCGTCCCGAATAAAAAGAAAAGAAAAGAAAAGGAAAACAAACAAACAAGCAAGGACAACGGTTCAAGCAAGACTAATCTAAAACCAATCAATCAAGTCAAGAAGAATTCAAATGATCACAATAACAGACCTCAACTATTAACTTGACTATTTTGAAGATGTAGACTCTCGAGTACAAAAGTATCATATGTGCCTCACTCAATTTCTTTCTCAAAAATCAACTGGGTACACTCAAATTGGTCGTCAGTCGAATCAATCATAAGTTTGCCTATCGTCTACTCTTACTCTAAAACAATCAAGTTTGTGAAACAGTGAATGAAGAGGACTTTAAGGGATGTAACATAGGCTCTTTGATTCGGGTAGGATAAATATAGGCTAAGTGGCTAAATAAAAATCAACTCAACTCAATCAGATAACCATAATCATGAACTCCTCCGGTTGCTGACACCAACTGGTTCCTCCCACTACTCCAAACCCAACATACTTCCCAAATTATTCACCATTTTTTTTTGTGAGAACCTTTGTATACTTTATGTAATCCATTCAGTTTTTCTCACTTTTTTTTTTTTTTTGGAAATTTTATTTAGTCTATTCGGTTTCTCTCTCTTTTTTTTTAATATTTTTATATTTTATTTTTTATATGTATATACAAACACGATTCACCTCCAATTCTGCACCGCAACTCCACAATATCATTGTCACGAGGTTATAAAAGAAAGAAAATCAATAAGGCTCAAAGGGGGTGACTAGCAAAATAATTTTCAGAAAAGGAAAGGAAAAGAAAATACAAGGAATGCCTCAATCATATTCACGTTCACAAATTCAATTATTTCATTTCTAAGCAGACTCAAGGAAATTCTAATTGACAATGACTCTGACCAATAACTCACAAGAAAAGAAACGAACGCTAAAACCTCACAAGGTAAAATAACTATCAACAAAACAACCAAGCCAATTAATCAAGATGTGCCACTCATTCTCATCATCACAAATTCTTAACCCAACTAATCAATCATCAACTAGTCTTACAATACACGAAGCTCCAAGCTCAGAAAGACACAAACAAATAATCCTACAAACTAGACCGGACCACAAAGCAAGAGAAAAGAAAATAAAAGCAATCCTAAAAAGAAAAACTAGACCTGGTCAACCATATAGCCACGTAAACACTTACAATTCCCCCACACTTAAAATTAGACATTGTCCCCATTGTCAATCCTAAGAACATGAGAGCTAGACCACCCAATTAACCGACCAGAAAATAAAACAAGCTATACAAAAATAAAAGAGAAAGAGAAAGAGAAACGTACAAAGCATAGTGACAAGTCACTCTGTGTCCGATGATGGCGGTGGAGGGTTGCTGCTCCCCGCATTCCTAAGGGTATCCCACTGGCTGAAACTGGTATCCCAAGTGCTCTACTGCTGGTACAGCCAGTTCGCCCAATTGTCCCATCGGTTGTCATGGGCTGTCCAGTGTGTTAGTGTTATATATTGAAAGCATGGTTTTGCATGTTATTACACATTTACCCTTTATAAATGAGAATCATGTTAGATTAAACAAGGTCTATGTTCTGTTGTTCTGCACTTAGATAGGGTGGGTCGTCATCGGGCGAACCGAAGATCACTCTATCAGTCACTTGCGAACAAGAATAGTTGTTCACAACCTAGATGGACATGAACACCCCATCCGAACGGTTGTAGTGTCAACTGTACAGTTTGTCTTGCCTGATTAGTTGCACTAGTACATTTATGTATTGAACAGGATCCTAGAGAGGAGAAGTTCATTTTATACTGATCGTCGTAAATGAACTAGGCCTCGGTTAATTACTGCGTTCTCTTAACCCGTAAGATATTAAACAGCAGATATATATAATATATATTACTTTGATTTACATGGGTGAGGTTCAGTTCGCTGGATTAATATTCCTACTGTTTTGGGTAATATTATTATATATATGATGTGCTGTTAGGATATTTACGGTCACCATGTGCGTTAGTTTGATGATGTCCCCGGAGTGAGTTAATGAAGGATTGTTATGCTAAACCCGGCAGGTCGATTAAGTTCCGGCATAATAAGAATGTGAAGAACGAGCGCCAGCTTCGGTGAAATAATAATAAATTAATTAATTCTTGATTGTCAGTAATCGAATTAATTAATGGATATTATATCTTCAACGTGGGGAGGTAAATCGAGTAATTATTATTGGAGTCTCAAATGTAATTTGGGCTAGGAAAAGGGAGTGCAATAATATAATGTTGGTGGCCCATTAATATTATTTAATTAATTAGAGGAGTGGACTTGGCCCACAGTTATTCTAATTAATTAAGGAGCCCTTTTCCTAATCTCCCAAGGGTCCCTACTGTAACTCTATATATACATTAATAAACTCATGAGAAGAGAATCCCAATCTCATTCTAACGAGAAACGCCCCATGCCTCTCTCTCTCTAGATCTCATTCGAGCGTTATCTTCTTCTTGTTGCTCCACTGGTACAAGTAGAAGAAGGGTGTATTCAGTAATACAGTAGAACATCTGTAGGTAAAACCGAGACGAAATATATTTTGACCTACAAAACTAACCGGAAGTCTAATTGAGACGTACAGCATACCTAGACGATCGTCTTGACGAGAGCTTTCCATCACCGTCGAAATTGCAGCCGTCCGACGCCTCACATGCTCTCACGCGCCACCGGAAGCTCCCAGGCTGCAAAGTTTCGTTTTGATCTGTTTGCATCTATTTGATCCAATTTTGATCTGATCTGGTTCGTGCAACCCAAGACGTGATTTGCGGTCAATCAATTGCGGTCAACCGTTCGTGGTTAACCAGATCTACATAAATTTTAAGCCATAAGTTCTCTACGTCAAACCTTTATATCCGCTGCGCATAGGTTTACGTTTGCTATTGAATTCGTGACTTGTACATAACGAGATCCTCACAGATCCCAACAAGTGGTATCAGAACACTTGGTTAATTCTTTTTGTACTGATTTCGAATTTTTACGACTTTATTTGACAATATGTGTTCAAACGCAGCCATATATTGGATTATATTTGCATAACTCGGGTTTGCAGGATAAATAGTTAATCCACTATTATGGCCGATTATGTGTTTGATGAATGTAGTTGAATGTGATGTATGGTTTTAAATTTGTTTTTAAAGCCTCGGGCATGTCGAGGAATTTATGGATGAATGTTTGTAATAATTATTCGCCCGGGAGTTGACCGGATAGATTTAATTATTTGTTTAGAAAACATGTACATCCATTCGTTGGATCTAGGATCGAATTATGTAATTTTGTAAATTATATTTTTCGTATTGTGATCGTGTGTTGATGATCGGGAGATCACAAGATATCAACGAGCCTCGAAGGAAAAAAAAAATTGGTTTTCCGACCACCGGTGGCCGGCGGCCGGGCGGTGGCCAAAGGCGGCGGTCGGCGGCGGCTTGCAGGAAGGTGGAGAGGTTTTGCCTTGATGTCCAAGCAGTACAAGATCAACCAGGATTCTACTGCTTAAAGGAGTTCCAGTTGAACAGGGAAAGAACTGTCACAGTTTCCTTATTTAAGGAGACTCAATATTTCATGGTCATAATAGTAGATTTATTTATTTATTTAATTAAATTTATTATGCCATTAAATTATTATTTATGCATGTTAATTAATTATGTTCTTGCATGGGATTAATTTAGTATTGCAAGATTAATTATGCATGTTGATTAATTATGTAATGCACATGTTAATTAATTATTGCATTGACATGAATTAATTTAGAATTGCATAAATTATTGAACATGTTAATTAATTATTGCACTGACATAGATTAATTTAGAATTGCATGAATTAATATGCATGTTTATTAATTATTGCATTAACATAGATTAATTTGGAATTGTATAAATAGTTCAAAATCCTCATTAAAATAATACTAAGTTTGAGAAGGGATTTTAAATTAAAGTTAATTGTAAAATTCCTAAGGCCTCCATTTCTAATTTGTCGGTAAATCAATTAATTGTGGTTATGAGCTCCCCCTCGGGAGACATTGCTAAAGTTAATTGTAGGAAATTACCAGGACAAATTTCTAAAAGTAGACGGTTAGAGAAAATCTTATGAGAGTGCACGGGCTTCCCCTCGGATGACGTATAATCAAATTTGACGACCTTAGGGCCGAGAAATGGGATTCACTTAGAATGCGATTAAATTTATTAACCTCCCTCAGGGTCCCTGAATTCTATTGCATGGCCAAATGGAGACCGACTATTACTTTCGTTCGTCATGAATTTGGTTTTGACTTATGGAAATTAATGGGCCTTAGAAAAGCCCTTCTCTTACAAAATGCGAATTTGTAGGGCGGCCCTCGTAGCATGCAATCCCATAAGGTGTAATAGATGTCGGTGGATGTAAGTTAATGTTGTTTTGAGGATATCAATATTAACAGTTAAATTCAAAAGTGTTTAATCTGTAAAATTTATGTGCATGATTCTCAGGATATTCATCATGTCGTTCAATCTGTTGTCAGTCATTCTAAAAGAAAATCAGCTTACTGGTCCTAATTACATTGATTGGAAGAGGAACTTAGACATAGTGTTGACTGCTGAGGGTTATAAGTTTGCTCCTGAGCAGGAGAAAGAGGAGTATGCTCGGTGGAAGAAGGCTGATGAGATGGCGAAGTGTTACATTCTGGCTTCTCAATCTAAGGACACTGCAGCAGATATACTTCTCAATCTCAGGGATCTGTTCGGACATCAGTCTAGGGCTGCTAGGCAAGAGGCTTTGAGTGCTCTGATGAGTACGCGCATGGCCGAGGGCACACCCGTAAGGGAGCACTCCCTTAGGGTTATGGCGCAGCTCAATGAGCTTGAGGTTATGGGAGGTTATATTGACGGAGAAACCCAGGTTGATATTATGCTACAATCTCTGCCGAAGAGTTTTGATCAGTTCCGGTTGAACTACAACATGCACAAGATGCATATGGCTCTTCTAGAACTGCTTGCAGAGCTACAATCGGCGGAGGCCTTATTCACTCAGGCACCTCAGGTGCTAGTCGCCGAGCAGGCTGGATCTTCGAGGCCTCACAAGGGCAGGAAGAGAAAGAAGTCTGCAGGAAAGGCGAAGGCACATGATGCTCCGGTTTACCAACGACCGGCCCCTCAAGGTGTGGCAAAGAAACCAAAAAGAAGATGCCACAAGTGCAACAAGTCAGGACACTAGAAGGTCGACTACCCTCTCCTCAAGAAAGGTAACTCTCTCGTTAATGTCGTAGAAACATGTTTAGTGGTTGTATTTACCAGAACCTGGTGTGTAGATACTGGAGCCACTGATCATGTCTGCAATTCTTTGTAGGGGTTCCAGGAAACCAAACGACTTAGGGAGGGAGAGATCACCGTCTACATGGGCAATGCTACGAAAGTGGCAGCTGTTGCAGTGGGAGATGTTATTTATCGTTTGATAGTAGTAGTTTGGTTTTGAGAAATTGTCTTTATGTTCCTAGCTTTAGAAAGAACCTTGTTTCAGTTTCTAAACTCGTTATGGATGGTTTTTCAGTTTCGTTTGATGACATGGTTATTATTCGTTTTGGAAATCGTTTCATATGTTGTGGCTCATTAGTTGGCAATTTGTATGTTCTCAAACCAAGCTCTCCCACAGTGCAACATAATGAATTGAATAATGTCATAACTACATCTAAAAAGAGGAAGGAGTCTTCGCAGATGAATCGAGCATATCTGTGGCATCTTAGACTTGGGCACATCAACCTTAGGAGGATTCAAAAGTTAGTGGCCAGTGGACATCTCGGTCCATTGGAAGAGCACTATCCAACTTGCGAATCCTGCCTGGAAGGTTAGATGGCCAAGAGGCCGTTTACGGCAAAGGGGTATAGGAGCCAAGAAGTGCTAGGATTGATTCATTCTGATTTGTGTGGTCTTATGTCGATCTAGGCTAGAGGAGGTTTCGAGTACTATGTGTCTTTCATAGATGATTACTCGAGATTTGGGTACGTTTATCTGTTACACCGCAAGTCCGAATGCTTTGAGAAATTCAAGGAGTATCGGGCAGTTGTGGAGAAGCTTCATGGTAAATGTATCAAGTCACTTCGTTCTGATCGAGGTGGCGAATACCTTTTTGGAGAGTTCAGGACATACTTATCGGAAGCTGAGATTGAATCCCAACTGACTGCACCCGGCACGCCCCAGCAGAATGGGGTTGCAGAGCGAAGAAATAGGACTCTTATGGAGATGGTTAGGTCTATGATGAGTTATTCGAGGTTACCAGATTCATTCTGGGGTTTGGCATTAGAAACGGCATCGTATATTCTGAACATGGTTCCATCGAAGTCAATTGACACTACCCCTTATGAGATGTGGAAAGGGCGCAAGCCCAGTTTCTCACAGTTTCGAGTTTGGGGTAGTCCTGCACACGTGTTAGTGCAAGAACCTGGCAAGTTGGAGAAACGTTCGGAAGCACGAGTTTTCGTAGGCTATCCCAAAGGAACGAAAGGTGGATTGTTTTATAGTCCTGAGGATCTGAAGGTGATCGTTTCAACGAATGCTAGATTCTTAGAAGAATACTATATTATGAATCATAAGCCCGCAAGTAGACTAGTCTTAGAGGAGTTAAGAGGTGAAATCGATGGTTCCCCACCGAGTGCGCAAGTAGATACATCACATAATACTGCAACACCGCACACTGAGAGTGTACCAGTGCTGACAGTGCCTCGTCACAGTGGGAGGGTTCCTCATTTACCCGACCGATGGATAGGTCTTGGAGAGTCATCGGACTCAGTTCCAGGAGGCCTAGAATCGGACCCAAGAACTTACGATGAGGCACTCCAAGATAAAGATGCAGATTCATGAAATGTTGCAATGAAAGCTGAAATGGGGTCAATGGACACCAATCAGGTATGGGACCTTGTAGAACCACCCGATGGGGTAGGACCCATTGGATGTAAGTGGATCTATAAGAGAAAGAGAGGATCGGATGGAAAGGTACAAACCTTTAAAGCTAGGCTTGTTGCGAAAGGTTATACCCAGATCGAGGGTATTGATTATGATGAGACCTTTTTGCCAGTAGCTATGCTTAAGTCCATTGGAATTCTCTTGGCTGTAGCTGCTCATATGGACTATAAGGTCTGGCAAATGGATGTCAAGACAGCTTTCCTTAATGGGAACCTACAGGAAGACATCTATATGCAACAACCAGAGGAATTCATTGCTGAAGGTCGTGAGCATCTAGTGTGTAAGCTTAATCGGTCTATTTATGGACTGAAGCAAGCTTCGAGATCTTGGAACATACATTTTGATGAGGTGATCCAGTCGTACGGGTTCACTCAATGTCCGGATGAGCACTGTGTTTACAAAAAAATCAGTGGGAGCGTGGTGGTGTTTCTTGTGCTTTACGTAGATGACATACTGCTTATTGGAAACAGTAAGAAGGAGTTGTCAGACGTAAAGGTGTGGTTGTCTAAGCAGTTTGATATGAAGGACTTAGGTGAAGCAGGACACATTCTTGGTATTAGGCTCATTAGAGACCGTAAGAAGAGAATGTTGTTCTTATCCCAGTCTTCATACATAGATACTGTCTTGGCCAGATTCAACATGCAGAATTCCAAAAAAGGTATGTTACCTTTCAGACATGGAATACCTCTATCTAAGGAGATGTCGCCTAAGACGTCTAAAGAGATAGAGGAGATGAAGATAGTTCCTTATGCTTCGGCAGTAGGAAGTCTCATGTATGCAATGTTGTGCACTAGGCCAGATATTAGCTACGCCGTTGGCATGGTAGCTAGATATCAAAGTAATTCGGGACGGGAACATTGGTCTGCGGTGAAGCATATACTCAAGTACCTGAGAAGGACTAAGGAGTACATGTTAGTTTACCGTGCAGGCAGCTTGTTACCTTTGGGTTACAGTGATTCTGATTTCCAGTCAGATAGGGATGAAAGTAAGTCAACCTCAGGTTATGTGTTTACCTTGGGAAGTGGAGCCATTTCATGGAGGAGTGCTAAGCAGAAATGCGTGGCAGACTCCACCATGGAAGCCGAGTACATAGCAGCCTCAGAGGTAGCGAAAGAGGCAGTTTGGCTCAGGAACTTCTTAGTGGACTTAGAGGTTATACCGAGTTTGCCACGTGGTATCACCGTGTACTGTGATAACAGTGGAGCAGTAGCGAACTTAAAAGAACATCGAGCCCACAGGGCAAACAAACACATAGAGCGCAAATACCATCTGATTCGGGATATCGTTGGTAGAGGAGACGTTGATGTTTCCAAGATTGCGTCAGAGGACAACCAAGCTGATCCTTTCACGAAGAGTTTGCCGGGGAAGGTCTTCGTCAAACACGTGGAAGGAATGGGAGTCATGAGCATGGCAATAGGATCGACATAGAAAAACTTCAATTGTAGATCAAGTATTACTAAGACATACATTATCCAAGAGTTCACATCCCATAATTCCAAATACAAATTCTATAAGTTACAAACCACAATTCCATACGACGTATTTTTAATTTAATTGTGACTTTTTTAATCAATACATGTGTAATACCAAAAAGCATTGAACCTTTGCCGTCTTGGAGCAGTGGGTGTCGACGTGTCGTAGTATTATTGTTAGAGTGACAGATATTATGGTAAAAATATCTACCAATTTATTTTTATTTAAAAATATATCATCTTTAAATAATTATGTCACTCCAAATTTTGTGAAATATTTTCTTCACAAAGGTCAGTTTCCAAACATTCTAAATTTGAATTTGGTTTATAATTAATGATATTTTTTTTAATAAATTTGACACATTGGTTACCAAAATTTGTGATAGAAAAAATATATTAAATTAATTTCTTTTCAAACTAATGCCTCACATTCAATAAGAAAATAAAATAATTATAACCTAGCAACAAAACACAATTAACAAAACACAACTAACCTAGCAGCAAGAAAGAACAACTAAACTAGCAACAAAGACAACTAACCTAGCAACAATACACAATTAACCTAGCAGCAAGAAAGAACAACTAACCTAGCAACAAAGACAACTAACCTAGCAACAAAACACAACTAACCTAGCAGCAAGAAAGAAATAACCTAGCAACAAAAGACAACTAACCTAGCAGC